GCTTCAGACCAACATGGCTCACCAACTGGATACATTTTAAAAATATTCAAATGCAGTTCTGACTGCATCCACTAGGGGTGCAGGGAAGGCAGAGCACAGCAAAGAGCAAGGCCTTTCTCCAAGGTTTACCTCACAGCTGAGGGAAACTGCTGATCAGATCTTGCTAAACCCATCCACCAAACCTGCACTGGAGCAAGGCAAGACCAGCCAGGACAGGATGCAGTCTCCTAAAAAGGTCTATGGTTTCCCTTTTCCTTTAGTTCTACCCAGCTCCTGCACAGACAGATCTTACCAAGAGGCAGCCTTGTTAGTGAGTGGTAGCTAAAAAGAAAAATAGAACCTTTCATTGTCTTTTCCTACATTCTCTAACCCATTTCCACATCTCCTCCTTCATTTTGCTCTCCTCCTTTTATGATCTACCATTCATCTATCCCCACTTCTAATTTTTCTCCCCCATCCCTTTATTTTTCAGTCTTAATGCCTTCTCACCCATCCTGGCAAGCTTAATAACCTATCTAGGATAGCGTATCTCTCAAGTTCTATTAGGCAGCCGCAAAGGTTCCGATGGGACTCTAGAAAATATGCTGCTTTGTGCTCACAAAGATAAATTATTGCACCTTATGTCTTTTATATATACCAGGGTCCTTGAAAAATATTGTATTCGAAATGGGTAAATTACTAGATTCCTGTGGGACTACTGGTTGTGAAACTGACAAGGGGCTGTTTGAATGTTTGAACAGAATGTAAACCTGCGCTTTGATGTATTGTTTGGGTAAAACCTATTTTTGATCATATTTGATACCAATATTTATATAACAGTATAGAAAAATTTAAAAAAAGAAAAAGCACAACATTGATCTACCTTAAGTGTACATCTATTATACACAATGCTATATATTTTTGCATATCTTCCTTACACTGTGACCCTCAATTTTGTATTTTCTACTACCTGGAGGTTGGCAACTCTAGACTACAAGCAGATTGTACAGACAATTTTTAAAAATCAAGTCCCTTAGCTAAAGCCTGAGTAAAAAGCAATGTTATGGCCTGGTACCTAAAAGAGAAGGGTGGGCACCAGGCAAGCCTCAAGGGGGAGGGAATTCCACAGGCAATGTGTCACCACTGAAAAAACGTTGTCCTGTCACAGAACTCTAGCATAATGTGTGGTTTGTTTCTCTCGAGAAAAAGCCACTGTGGTCAAAAGGAGACTTGAATCCAGGGAGACTTAGACCCACCACCTTCTGGGCCTGCAAGCTGGCGAAAGGGCCCTTTCCATGGCCTCACCTCCTCCCTGGGCCACCTGTTGTCCTCTGCCCAGGCTGCCCTGAACATTCTTCTTCTCCCCTAGGCTCCTCGGCGAATCCTGGAAGAAGACGCCACCGTCCGACTGTCCTTCTACAGCTCCAGGATTGTCAGCGGTCAGACGCAGATCCACCAGACCAACCCCACCTATGAGAGAGTTTTCCCGTTGGACCTGGAATATCACCAGCCCACCACCCTGCTCCAGAAACTGCCGGAGCTCTCCCAAAGTGCTGAGGATTCGGGTAGGAAGTGGTTAACCGTGTAGTTCAGGGAACGTGGACAGAAACAGGTGAACTCTACCTCATCCTGTTAGGCAGGTAAAAAAACCCCTGCCTTGGATAGATTTTGGAGGCCTCTTAAAAGCTAAATAAATTTAGCACCAATATTTTACTACTATGGTAGATGCCATTTGGGTTTTTCCTTACGTACAGTAATAACTTTGTCTGTGCTCCATGCTCAAATAATTATATTTCCCTGCCAAGAAACCTTGAATTCTGCAATGCGCGTTGATGATGCAGATTTGCATAAGTTCTCAGTTTCCATCATTCTGCACTTTTATTGTTTTGAATAGCTTGTTCAGCCTCGTTAGCCATTGAGGAACTTGGAACCAGCCCTGTGTCTGCAATCTGGCCTGCCCTTCTGGCTTCTGAAATTTTCACCTAGCACTGCTTGAAATGTAAAATTAACACATAGAGTCCATACCAGTATTTCTTCTAGAGTTTAGTCTTTAGAATAACAGGGCCTGCAAGACGAAGCTCTTCTGCCAGGCCTTTGCATAGGAGCCGCCGCCGTCACTGTACCACCACCTAGTTGCCATCTTTGATGGTGGATTATTTATTTATTTAATTATTTATTTGTTAAATTGATACCCCGCCCTCCCCAGCAGGCTCAGCGCAGCTACAACAAAGGCAATTGCCATAACAACCGTTAAAACAACATAAAAACAATCATTAAATAAAGTGCAGTGCTCTTGATGTTAAAATGTTTTTCAATCCAAGATGAGTTCTGGAGGTGAGCCAGCCCTGGGCAGACTCCTAGTTAACTGAAGAATGTATGTTGTCAGGTTAGGTTGATGAATGGAACTCATCTTGGATTAAGAAAAATTTAACATCAAGAGCACCGCACTTTACTTAATGATTGTTTTATACTGTTTAATGATTGTTTTTATGTTGTTTTAACTGTTGTTATGGCAGTTGTCTCTGTTGTAGCCACCCTGAGCCCGTTGGGGAGGGCGGGGTACAAATCTAATGAATAAATAAATAAATAAATAAAATAAGTATGTACTCAGACATTTGAGGCTATTTTACAGTAGCACGAACAAAGTAAGAACAGATTTATCCAGGGCTGGTTCCAAGTTTTGGGAGGCCCTAGGCAGAGAATTCCCAGGCCCCTCCCCCCCTCTGCTGCCCACCACCACCAGGCCTTGCTCACACCCTCCTACCCATCCTCATGCCTCCCACCTGCCTGTGTGTCCTTCCTCCACCTGCTTGCAAGACCTCCCACCACCTGTCATTGTAGGACATAGTAACAAGTCTTCTGCACAAAGGCAATAATTCCTGGTCATGACATCTTTATGCTGACCTGAGTTGCACCTGGGGGTTGTCCAACTGAAGTCTTCCTTTTGGCTCTTTCAGCCTGCAGTGGTGATTACGCCGAGCCTGATCTTACCAAGTGCACACCTCACCAAGGCTTCCAGAATAATGTCCCACACTACGCCGAAACGGACATCGTCAGCCTGCAGGGTGTGACGGGCAACAACACGTACGCTGTGCCAGCCATCACCGTTGACTCCTTGACCAAGAAGGACATCTCTGTGGCTGAGTTCCCAAGGCAGCAGCTACGGCTGAAGGAGAAGCTGGGAGAAGGGCAGTTTGGGGAGGTAGGTGTCCTCCCCCCCCCAATGGTCTGGCCCAGGCCAAAAGAGAGCTGGTATAAGTCATAAGACAGGCCAATAGGCTGATAAGAGTGGGTATCCTGCTGTCTGACAGCTGACGCACTCGACAGGTGCCACTTTGCAATATACCTGTTGGTGTGAAGACAAGATGTCATGGTGAAAGAGAAGTTACAATATGATCTATATGAATACTTTGTGCAATTCTGGTCACCACACCTTAAAAAGGATATTATAGCTTTGGAAAAAGTGCAGAAAAGGGCAACTCGAATGATAAAAGGGTTGGAACACTTTCCCTATGAGGAAAGGTTAAGGCGCTTAGGGCTCTTTAGCTTGGAGAAACGACAACTGAGGGGTGATATGATTGAGGTTTATAAGATTATGCATGGGAAAGAGCAGGTAGAGAAAGAGGTACTTTTCTCCCTTTCTCACAATACAAGAACTCGTGGGCACTCAATGAAATTGCTGAGTGGTCGGGTTAGAATAGATAAAAGGAAGTACCTCTTCACCCAAAGGGTGTTTAACACGTGGAATTCACTGCCACAGGAAGTGGTGGCGGCTACAAGCATGGACGGCTTCAAAAGGGAATTAGATAAGCATATGGAGCAGAGGTCCATCAGTGGCTATTAGCCACAAGCACTGGTGGACCTCCTGATGGCACTGGTATTTCTGGCCACTGTGTGATACAGAGTGTTGGACTGGATGGGCCTTTGGCCTGATCCAACATTGGCATCTCTTATGTTCTTATCTTTGCCCCCGCAGAAGGAATCCAGTTTCCTCCAAGAGCCTGACTACACATTTCACTGTTTCTGCGTCTACCCTGGATCCTGTCAGGCAGACAGGTGCTGGGAGTTCTGTGTTGAAACTTAATTCTAAGGCATGTACAGACCAGATTTGGATCAGGAGCATGGCACCTGAGGAGAGAGGGCTTGGGCCTTCCCCTCTGTGCCGTTTTCCCAACCTGAAACAGCCCCAGGAGATAGTTATTTGCCTTCCTGGGGAACCTTATGTTTAGCTTATTAGTACCTACATGTAAGCTTCCTCAGGGCAAATAGTGGCACCTTGGGGTCGGTTCAGGTCAGAGAAAGGGTGCAGGCGAGATGGCTGAATAAGATTTCAAGTGGTTGGACGGTGGTGCTCCAATGCCCTGAATTGTTCCTCATCTCCTGCTCCATAACTAGCAGACCCAGAATAAACCAAGCAAGAGGAATGAAACTGTGCCTTTGTAAGCTGGCTTTGGAATTCAGCTTTCCTTGATGCAGAATTTGCTTACTGACAAAGCCTTGCCTGTTAAGGATCTAGAAGAATGTTTGATTTTGAGCTTCTGCTGGGATCTCCTGTTCACAGGCCCTTGCAGCTGGGTCTGCCTCTTCAGTTATTCTTGGAACGTGAGCCAGGTCAATTGTGAGTGAGTTCATTTCCCAGCCCATCAGTATGTGTGTGGGTTCCCCAGAGTGTGTAAGAAGCCTTCCCTCCCTCTAGAGCTGTCTGACCTTGGTCCATGGCCTCTCTTCTGCAGGTCCATCTGTGTGAAGCGGATGGTCTTCTAGAATTCCTGGGTCGGGGCTCTGCAGAGGCCTCCAGCAGGGCAGCCTTAGTAGCCGTAAAGATGCTCAGAGCCAACGTCACCAAGACAGCCAGGTGAGCTCAGTCCAAAGAAGGTCTGCCATTGGCTGACAAAGTCTTCCGGAGGGCTAAGGGGCATTAACCCATTAAGTGATGCTTGATTAAGACAACCCGGCCTTTAAAATCAGAACAAGAGTGGCCTCCACTGTGAGATTGCAGTGAGACCAATCTCAATTAAAGGTTGTATGGTTTTATACATGGGGAAAGCTGTATATAAATTTGTTACAGCAAGTGAGTGTATGGAATTCAGTGACTTTGGGGCAATTGTATGCAAATGCTGACCATGTGAAGAGGTTGTTTGTTTTGAATATGTCTGAAAGCTCAGATATATCTCAATTAATAATAGTCTCCTGGCATCAATTCAGTTGTGTACATCCAAATTCTATTTTCTGGTATTCACAAAAAATCATCTGGGATTAATGACTGCATTCCCACAGAAATGCTGATCTTCACCTAGTGTTGGATGTTCACTGAAATTAATGTACTTATTTGCTTTTCTGTCTTTATTCTATTTTACTTTTCAACCAGAAATTAGCTCACGTGAATCAAAAACTAAAATGACAAGATAATTTTTATGCAGAAAGCTTCCTCAGACAGGGGATTCTCAACTGGAGCTGGATCCAGACGTGGTAGAAACCCTTTTCAGTCATGTTCATAGCTCCTTTTTCAGTGCTCCTAGCAAACCTACTAGGAGAATGAACTACCCACAATTCTCTGAATAACTCATAGTTGCCATTTTGCATAAATAGGGCGATGTGTTGTTTTTTTCAAACTCTGATACATGTGAATGCCTGCCCACAGCAAACCTGCGTTTCTGATCTCATGTACCATACCTGGAAATATGTGGGTTGCCTTATTCATACAGAATGGCTATTGCACCCATTGAGATCGCATGTTGTGCATTCTGCTGACATATAAGTTAAGAGCGCCAAAAACTTAGTGCCTTGAAAGGGATAGAGAGATGTTAGGCTGCTTTCGGACCTCCACCTGACGGCCTTGTTAATGGTAGGTAGAAGCTGCAGGAAAGGAGTCCTCAGCTGTGCTGGACATAAGACATGATAGAGGAGAAGAAGTTTTAAGCAGGCATATTAGCCCATGCAAAATACAGAACAAGACATAAACAAGACATGGATATAATGCCTTTTACGGGGGCCAGCCAGAATGACCCAATACATTGTGCAAGCTTTCGAGCCCATCAGAATTCTTCACCTAGCTAGATGTTACAAAAATTAAAAACAAAGGAGGAAAAAAGATTTTCCAGGTGAAGATCTTAAGACCCTGTCTTGTTAGCCTTTGATGTTAGATGCCGGTAGGCTCAGAGACTCTAGTTTAAGTGTTGCACTTGTATTTTGGGAAGAAGAAACAAACAGTAGCAGATCATCTCATTTGAAAAAAAAATGAGAGTCCAACGAGAACCAAGAGTCACATGAAAACCCATGCGAGAAGCGCCTGTCCGGTCTAACTGTCAGTATGTGGGTTTGGACAGTTTTATAGTACAATTATGTGAGTTTCCTTGTATGTTCTCTTATTTTTCAAAGGAACGATTTTCTAAAGGAAATCAAGATCATGTCCCGGCTAAAGGACCCAAACATCATCCGCCTGCTGGGGGTGTGCGTACGGGATGATCCATTATGTATGATCACCGAGTACATGGAGAACGGGGATCTTCATCAGTTCCTGTTGCAGAGGCAGAGCAGAAGCACCTTTACTCTCTCCAATAACATTCCCTGTGTCAGGTGACCAAAAGGAAAAGGGTGGGGTGTGGTCAGAGAAGACCAATCGGTTCAGTGAGTAGGGCTGGTACCCATACGCTATGGTTTTGCGCACAAACAGTTCATATCCACATCTGAAGTCTAGAACTCACTGTCTTAAGATATTGTATTGTCCATTAGCACTAAAGACTTCTAAAAAAGCTTTGATAAATTCATGGAAGATTGCCCTGTCCTTAAATATTAGTCATAACAAGTGGGGGGCCCACAAAGCCCTCCATCGCCCTCTGGTGCAACTCCCTTGGAGCCCAGCCACAGCGGTGGTGGCATCTGGGAGCTACTCCAAGCCTGGAGTGGTTCCAGCATCTGCTGCAGCTGGGCCTGGTGCAGCTCTTGGGCTCTGCCACCGCTGGGCTCTACGTGGCTCCCAGGCTTCACCACTGCTGCAGTAGCTACCACCAGGCCCCTCTCCAGCTGCTCCACACTAAACGTGTTGTCTGCGTATGTGCAGGCAACGCTTTTTATTGAGGGGGGGGATTTAAACCCCCAAATGTATTTTTTTTAAACTTTTCAGATTTTTCTGCAAACCTAGGGGGTCACCCTAGTTTACAGAAAAACCTGTTTGGGGGTAAGTGTGCCCCCTATCTGCGAATCAAGGTGTCTACAGACGGTGGGGTAAGTGTGCCCCCTATCTGCGAATCAAGGTGTCTACAGATGGGGGGGGCACTCTTGGGAATTAGATATATAGATAGCTAAGAATGGAACCTCCCATGTTCAGAGGCATTATATCCTTGCAGTCTGCCCAGTTCAGATCATGACTGTGGTATACATGGAGAAAGTTACTCAGCCTCCTCCCCACACTGGCTTCTGTTTTGCAACTTCAAACTGGGGGGGGGGGCAGGGGGGGAGTGCCTTTGACTGGATCCCAAAGGATCTCACCTTTGACCGTCTGCATCTCTTTGCCCTTTTCAGCTGCCTCCACCTCCTGCTCATGGCTACCCAAATTGCCTCCGGCATGAAGTATTTGGCTTCCCTCAACTTTGTGCACCGAGACCTGGCTACGCGCAACTGCCTGGTTGGGAACAACTACACCATCAAGATTGCCGATTTTGGCATGAGCCGGAATCTGTACAGTGGTGATTACTACCGGATCCAGGGCAGGGCTGTGCTGCCAATCCGCTGGATGGCTTGGGAGAGTATCCTGCTGGTAAGAGGGTGGGACAGCGGGCAGAAAACCTCCTTTGGTTTGTTTAGGGCCAAAGTGACCATTAGACGCACTGATCTGGAATCCACATTGAGCAAGGCAGTGTACAAAACTTTCAGAATGGTACCATCCTGCTTAGAGAGGTTAAAGTCCATGGTGGATGGCATGGAAAGAAGGAGGAGGAGTGAAAGACTGACTGAATCCTGTCTATATTGAAAACTTACATTGGTCTGATGCCACTTAAACATGGCTGTAGTTCCGTGCTAGAGCACATATTTTGCATACAAAAAGTCTCAGGTTCAATCCCCAGCTCTCCCAACTAGAGGATCTGAAGTAGCAGCCATTGGGAAGGCTCTTTCTCTGCTTGACGACCTGAAGATCCAGGGTCAAAGTAAGTAATACCAAGCCAAATAGGCCAGTAGTTTCTCTGCTTGACGACCTGAAGATCCAGGGCCAAAGTAAGTAATACCAAGCCAAATAGTCCACATCGATATAAGCCACATCGATATAAGCCAATTTCATGTGGGAGGGGCTGTGGCTCAGTGGTAGATCATACACATGGCATGCAGAAGATCCCAGGTTCAGTTCCTGGCATATCGGTTAAAAGGAACAGGTAGGAGGGAATGTGAAAGACCTTTGCCTGAGACCCTGGAGAGTCACTGCCAGTCTGAGTAGACAATACTGACGCCGATGGACCAATGGTCTGATTCAGTTATGAGGCTGCTTCATAAGTTCATGTGTCATGGATTCCTACAAAGAATTCTGGGAATTATAGTTTGCAGGGAGTGCTGAGAATTTCCTTTTACAGACCCCTAGTCACCACCCTTCCCTGAAGTACACTTCCAAGGATTCTCTAGGGCGAGGGGATGACAGTTCAAACTAGTTAATCTCACTGGTTTAGATGTGTTCAGTTAGTTGTGAGGTTCTACTAGTGGAAAGTGGATGCCCAGTGAAGGAGCTATTTGCTCACATTTTCTTTACTAAGGTAGGATGAGATGACTCCTGGCAGAACACTCAAGCTAGATTGAATCTTTGAATGACTTTTGACCTCATGGTCTTCCTCTTCCTCCACACAGGGCAAGTTCACCACAGCCAGTGATGTCTGGGCCTTTGGTGTGACACTGTGGGAAATGTTCACACTGTGTAAAGAGCAGCCTTACAACTGGCTCTCAGATGAGCAGGTCATCGAGAACACGGGGGAGTTCTTCCGAGACCAAGGCCGGCAGGTATGGGAAACATGCCCAGCAAAGTGGTTCTTCCAACCAGAGCTGCAATGATCCAGACAGCTTGTCACTACAACTTGAGAATTTCTCAAGACATGTAAAAGAACAACCCTGTACATGGGTTGTACATGCATTCATTGTAACTTGTGAACAGGGCTAGTTACAGATTATACTAGATTTATGAAAGAAAACAAAAGCCCACAAAATGTGAAAACGAGTTATTTGAAAAACTGATTAATACTTAAGAGCCTTAGCTAGTTTGGTGTAGTGGTTAAGAGCAGCAGACTCTAATCTGGAAAACCGGGTTTGATTCCTCACTCCTCCACTTGAAGCCAGCTGGGTGACCTTGGCCCAGCCACAGTTCTCTCAGAGCTGTTCTCTCAAGAGCAGTTCTCTCAGATCTCTTTCAGTCCCACATACCTCACAGGGTGTCTGTTGTGTGGGAAGGGAAGGAGATTGTAATCCACTCTGAGACTCCAAGTGAGGGGGGTATAAATCCAATCTCCTCCTCCTCCTCCTCCTCCTCCTCCTCCTCTTCTTTCAAATTCATAAACAATTCTTACATTTTTTAAAAGTATCTGGCTTGAGGTTTTTTTTTAATCCTGTTTTTATACAAAGCAGTTCTGACAGTGTATCCTGCCTCTGAACACGGAGGTTAATTTCTTAGTTACACTGACTAATACCTTCAAGAACTGGTCTAATCTCACTTTCAAAGCTGTCTGTGCTAGCATTCAAATGTCGAATTTGAATTACAAAGTCTTTGGACAGGAGAAATCAAGCACATAGGAACTGTTGTCCTGTTGCCTATGGGATTTCCATCAGCAAAGCACGTCTTCCTTGCCTCTCGCCACTCACCGGGGGTGGGCATTTATCCATGACCTGCCTCGCCCAACAGCTGTATTGTTTATTGATTGATTGATCCAATTTATACCCCGCCCTCCCCGCAAAGGCAGGCTCAGGGCAGCTTACACAGCATTTCATAAAAATACAATTAAAACCTATATAAACATATAATATAAATAACAGTCGATTAAAACACAGTTAGAACGCTGGTACATTATCAGATAAAAGAAGAGCAAAATTATTTCTAATATGGCTTAGGTGACCATATGATTCCTATAACTTTCATACCAGCTCAGTTTGCTCACTTATTATGCGGCGGGCTCAGGCTAGAGACAACGATGGTAGTCAGGGCACAGGCTGGAGGTGAAGGTAAAGATGGTGAAGCCAGGGCACAGGGACACTCCATGGTGTAAAATGCAGCTCCTTGGTTGAATGCCTGGTGGAAGAGCTGCGTTTTGCAGGGCCCTGTGAAACTGTAAAAGGTCCTGCAAGGCCCTGATCTCTTCCAGGAGCTCATTGCACCACTTGTCATGTTACAGAGTTGAGTCCAAACTGAGCCAGAAAGTCACAACACTCACTGCCCTCCCCAGGACCTTCAGTTCCACTCTAATCTCTGCCCCACATCCTTTAAAGCCAGTTAAGAGTGTGGACTCTAGTCTGGGAGAACCGGGTTTGATTCCCCACTCTTCCACCTGCA